AGCCTTTCCTACTTTAACTTTTAGCTAGTCTTTAGAACTTTTAACTTTTGACTTGCCTTTTGATACCTTTTAGCTTTTGGGTTTCCTTACCGTTACCTTTTTGCTACTTTTAGCTCATCAATAGCCCTTTTAGCTACTTTTTTCCTACTCATAGCTAGCATTTTTGATACTTTTATGACCTTTAGTTTATGGATATCCTTTTCAACATTGAGCTCTTAAATGTCCTTTTGCTACTATTAGTTTTTAGTTACTGTTCTGCTACTTTTCACTAGCCTTTTGGCATATTTAGCTTTTAGCCAGTCGTTTGATACTTTTATGACCTTTAGCTTACAGATAGATTTTCCTGCTTTAACTTTTACCTAGAGTTTTGCTATTTTAGCTTTAACAACTCTTTCAGTCATTCGCGCTGCGTTCTGACAGAATCTCTTAATTGTTCTTTTAAAAACAAACCCAGCCGTGACACATTTTTTTTAATTTCAGACGGCAAAGGCGCAGCTGCTGTTTCAGCCAAACAATTCATGGAGCTTTTCCACGACCGGCTGACGTTAAAACACGTCATCGCTAACAGAAATACTCTAATCTGCTGAATGATGCAGAAGAATGAGTCCTCCTGCCAAACATTGTTGATGCTGCAGCTCGGTGTGGAAATTAAACTGAACGTCGTCCAGGTTTCCGTTAAGCTGCACTTTAAGAGAATAAATAAGATAAAGGCTAAAAATGTGTCCTGAGTTCCTGTTGGAGCATCCTGATGTTTTCTGGTCGAGTAAACGAGCAAGTCAGAGTTTGGAGCTCAGTCTCAAAAAAAAACAACCTTTAATGTGGTGTTACATTTTAAATTAAAGGCCTAGCATTCCTTGAGGGTAAACCGTCTTATTTAACTAGTCAGACCTTGAATTGTGTGAGGATGACTCTCAGCTACTACCACACTGAACTTCAGCTCCACACCTGTAGAGCTGACTGAGTTAAAGCCAAGTTTGATCACTGCGGAAGCATTTTGAATCATGTTGACTCCAACGTCAATCAGGTGTAAGTTACAGAGCGTTTCATTAAAACCTGTCCCCAGTTCATGAGATGTTTTGCTAACAGAGACCCACACAGACACTCTGATCCCTGTTTTTTATCGGTGAGGACTCGAACGCCTCTCTGAAGCGTGAATGCTGCTGACCTCTGATCTGGACCATCAGGCGGTGAAATGTCTGACTCTGCGTCTCGTGCAGGCCGGTGAGCATGAAGCAGCAGCAGCTGATGTGTGAGGAACACGAGGAGGAGAAGATCAACATCTACTGCCTGTCCTGCCAGACGCCCACCTGCTCCATGTGCAAAGTGTTCGGGCAACACAAGGACTGCCACGTGGCTCCGCTCAGCAGCGTCTACCTCAGGCAGAAGGTACGGGCGCTCCGTGACTTCATTCAGATCCAAACCACGACGTTTGGGGGGGTTCCACAGATGATTCATCAACGTGCTGAATACGAGGCGTGTTTCAAAGGTTAAATGGCAACAAGAGTTTATAGCAGTGTCTTCTCAGAACCGAGCGGTGACCTTTATTTTACTGTCTTCTTTTCTCTTGTTCCTATTTTTACCTCCGTCCCTCCCGTTTGTACCCGAGTATCTCCTTACAAAACAACCAAAGATGATCCCTGAAGCAAACGCACACATCTCCAAGGGTCAGCAACCTTCATCTGTTTGCAACTTCAAACTTTAACATTCCTGCCGTCCTAAAACTGAGGCCCCAGCAGTTATTTTGACCCGGGGGCAGCAGGAGGGTTGAATAATGCTCTGTTCGATGGTTCTTTCTCAAAAACCACATACTGCTGATCGTAGATGGACCGTAGATTTGCAGATGATGCTGAAGCCGTTGAACATAGAAACTTTCAGACGGACTAGATGTGCTGATCAGGCGGTCCATCGACAGCCTCGCCACCATCTGCACCTCCTCGTGTAGTAACACGGGAAAATAGCACGAAATGATCTCATGCAAAAGTCTAGAGGGTTAAATGGATGTAAACCAGTGTGCTTTATTTAACCCAGCTTAGAAAACACAACAGTATTTAGAGAAACTGTGAGGGACTTAGTACCTGTCAGGGTGCACGCCGTCACTCACGCAATGATCCCTGGAGGTAGGCGGATATTTAGTAATAACAAAATGCAATAATTTGAAAGTATACCAGTCAAGACAGTGCAACAAAATGCCTGACAGCTGTACAAAAAAAGATTTAAGATGTCTAAAATCTGTTATCTTTACCCGCTTCTTCCTTAAATATGAACCAAACCTTATTTCAGCTGTGCAAACCACAGACGCCGCGTTGATTCCAATCAAGAGACACCCATTTTGTTACGTAGCATCGTGATCTGCAGGGGGAAAGATTAGCCGTAGCTCCATCAGTACAATATTTGCATTAGCTTGTTTGGTTAGCATTAGCTTAGCCTGGATGAAGACTTTTTAGCCTTTTCCTCCACAGTCTGTGCTCCATGAGTGCTAAGGTGCTAATTATTGATCATTTCATCACACAAAAAATATTTCTTTATGCTTTTTGTAACTGTTTGACCCAGAAAGCCCGTGGACAGCAAAGCGCAGCAGTTCGGTCATGCAGATGGCGGCGGCAGCATCTGGTGCGTCCGTCGAGCAGTTGGTTTGTTGACATTTCAGCGCCGGCCTCTCCGTTTCTCACCCCGTCTCTGAATCACTCATCTGAAATGTAGATGAGGCGCCGTCGTTTCAAAGCCAACAGCAAAAGTTTGGCGGCTTCATTTGGCCAGCGCAGATGTGTGAACGTTTCTGCCTCGTTAAGCTGGAACACGAGCGCGGCGTCAGAAGATGCTCGAAGCAGATGCACGCCGCTGACTCATGCGCGGTTCAGACGTCGCTCCGGGTGCATCCCTCCTGCAATCCCAGCGTGCGTTTGAAAAAGAGAGCAAACTAAAAGTTCATTATTAGACTGGACGTGTGTTAAATTATTGATAAGTTGATTTTCTGGGCGGACTGATGAGCTTGGTCACATTCCCAAGGTGAACTCTTACTGGATCAATTGGTTAATTTTGTTTACAAATAGGTTTGTGTTGAAATATGCAAATGAGGTTTTAAAATTAGCGTTGGAGCTATCCGTCCCTCCATACATACGGATACATATTTTAAAATGTCCTCCACTTGCAGTGGAGTCTTCCTCAACCTGCAGGAAACAGACTCTTTTCTGCATAGAAAAAAATATTTATTAATAATTCATTCTCTATAAATGTATTTTTGATGGACTGAAGACTTTTCAGTGTGGAAAAGTTTGATTCATTTATCAACGTTTACCCTCACAGCAGATTATTTGATGTGGATCTGATGCACTTCTGATGAAGCCTTCTGGATCGAAGGCGAAACGTTTCGGCACAAAAAAAAAGAAACTGTCCCGATGACCTGACTGAAAAATGTTGGATTGTATACCTGGATTATTGAGCATGGACTTTATTTGATGTGGATGTTTGCAGGCGGAGCTGAGCGATGGGATTGCAGTCCTGGTTGCCAGCAACGACCACATCCAGACGGTCCTCTCTCAGATGGAGGAAATGTGTCGCAGCATCGAGGTCACTCTCACAGCGACGATGTGGTGATCATAGGAACAAACAAAAACACAAGCAGAGGCTTGTTGTTCCGTTCGCACCATCCTCTGTGCTGCAGCAGCGGCTCAGGCGCTTCCTGACGACGTCAATGTGCGTTTCTCCTTCAGGAAAACGGACGCCGTCTGAGAGAGCACATCGCCGACCAAATGGACGGCCTGGCGTCGGTGCTGGAGGAGAGGAAGCAGGAGCTGGTTGGGCTCATCTCCAAACACCAGGACCTCAAACTGAAGCACGTCCGGTCCCGAATCTGTCGGCTCAACCGTCAGCTGGAGGCCGCAGGCGGGCTGATGGAGTCGGCCGTCCGGTCCATGGAGGAGACGGGCGAGGCTTCGTTCATCCAGGCGAGGAACGCCACGCGTCACATCTCACATCATTCAGCTGCACTTGCTTTTGTGAAATACATCAGTTTATGTAGCCTTAGCAGCACACGCTGATGGCTTTTGCCTGTTAGCAAAATGTCATGAACCACTGAATGGGTTTTAATGAAACTTTCAAAAAGTAATTGTTGGATGTAAAAATACAACTGGTTAACCTTTGGACAGAACCCCATTCAAGATGGGAGCTACTGTACTTTCCACCATATACGTCGCTTCACCGTATAAGTTGCATTTATTATGCGTCACCGTTGACCACCCAGAAACGTGGGCCGGTGTTGTGCCAAAAATGGAAGTCGCGGCAAAACGCAGCTGATTTGACGTTTGCTCCAGGAGTTCCGTAGTGAGACAAAGGTAGCTTTGTATGGCAAGCCAAGTGTCTCATTAATAGCCACGTTTACCCATTAATGAGACACTTGGCTTGCCATATTAGTCAAGGGCCCTCTAGCAGCTGAAAATGGTAGTGTTCAATATTTTCCATGAATGAACTCGTCAGATCTCAGCTAATAATTGGGTTATAAATATGGGAAAAAACATAAATAAGTCGCTTCTTCGTATAAGTTGCAAGGCAAAAAGTACGGTAATTAACATTAGCTTAAACAAGAATGAATGTACATCTGTGAATTTTACACACATTAAGCCGACATTTGGTGTGGTAGTAGCTGGGAGTCGTTCAGAACACTCACTCTGAGCACTAACGGATCATAATGCACATTATTGTTTCAAAATCTACAACTTTGTAATTTCTCAACACAAGATGATCTGCAGCCGTCCCAATGAAGAAGATATTTTTAAAGAAAACCACTCCGAGTCGTTCTGACAGCAACAAGACTTGAACTTGTTTTTATTGTACAGCCTGGTGTCTGATGGATACAAGTTACTCACACAGATAACGTGACAGTTTCTGTCTTTTTTCCTCTTTTGTCACAGAGTTCAACGGTCATACTGGAACAGTAAGTGTTTGTTTCATTTTCTACTTCTCACTAACGAGTTTAATCGATTTAAAACCGACCTGGTTATAACTGGAACACTGTAAATAAAACCTGCCAAATACCTAAACTGCTCCCATCATCTGTAATGAAATCGTTTTATAAGAAAAGTAATTATAATTAAGTTTTTTGTCTTGTTTAAGAAAAAAAATAATCAAAGGATTTATTCTAAGTTGACTTACTGCCAAAGAAAGCTAAAACTGTGCATCTTCTAGTTTGACTTCTTTACACTACACATTACAACCTTTTTCTGATTTTATTTTTTTAACATATTGTTTAAAGCAGAGGTGTCCAGACTGTTTCATCATGGAGCTCCTTTTAAAATGACCGAGTCACAGTGATACTGTCACGCCCCGTTTACACGACAACAACCTCTGGATACTTCAGTGTTTATTGGGGGTCATCAACAAAAAAATGAGTGGTTTACACGAAAACGCTTTAGTTCTATGTCAGTCAGGTTGCCAGATAAGACATTAAGAACTATAGTACTGTGGCTTTAAAATAATAGTACAGTACCCAAGCAAATACATACACATACACACATATATATATATATATATATATATATATATATATGTATATGTGTGTTGTCATCATTGTATGTTCTCATACAAAGACGAAATTGGTTCTCTGCATTTTACCCATCGCACCTGGTTTACACCCAGGTGGAGCAGTGGGCAGCTATGTAAGCACCCAGGGAGCAGTTCAGGATTGGGTGTCCTGCTCAGAGACGCCACGAGATGTGCAATGACCGGGGATTGAGCCCGGGACCTTCGGGTCCCGAGTCGGCTGCCCTGCCTGCCCCTACACTATCTCGGCCCCAAAAACCCTTAAACCCTTTTCACACTAAACAACGTTTCTAAACTCTAAAGCCTCTAAAAGAGCACAGAAAGTCATGATTTCCCTCTCTCTGCCTCCTCTGCTCTCAGCCACCTGCAAGCGTTCTTGGCCACGCTCACTTCTCCGCTCTGCATGGAGAACAGCTGATCAGCTGCAGGAGGTGATAAATAATTTAACATAATTTATTTAAAATAAAAATTCCAAGCCGATCGTGCGGCTCATCCATCAATCAGCCAGTTGTGTGCCATGTCCAATCTTATTTTGAAAAACCGCGATAGAGCGAGTCCGCAAAAAAAACGAATCACCAAGTAGCGAGGGACAACTGCACATTGACCTGAACGGTCACATGTGCTGAGTAAAGACATTCTAAGATGAGGTGTGTGTTGTGCTTGTTGAACATGTGCACAGAAAAGGAGGGGGTAAATAAGACTTTTTAAATTTATCTGGCAACCCTCTTCGTGCATGCAGTGTCTGCATGACAGTTAGTCCAAACTGGTGAAGACACCAACGTCTCTTTGGAACTGGATTTTATTAGTTTTGCTCTTACATGCTGAAAAAGAGTGAGCAGCACAAAAACACTCTGCTCTCTGTCGTTTATTACCACTGTTGTTATTTATTACAACTGCTATTTATTATAACTGTTATTTATTATAACTGTTGTTATTTATTTATTATAACTGTTGTTATTTATTTATTACAACTGTTGTTATTTATTTATTACAACTGTTATTTATTATAACTGTTATTTATTATAACTGTTGTTATTTATTTATTATAACTGTTGTTATTTATTTATTACAACTGTTATTTATTATAACTGTTATTTATTATAACTGTTGTTATTTATTTATTATAACTGTTGTTATTTATTTATTACAACTGTTATTTATTATAACTGTTATTTATTATAACTGTTGTTATTTATTTATTATAACTGTTGTTATTTATTTATTACAACTGTTATTTATTATAACTGTTATTTATTATAACTGTTGTTATTTATTTATTATAACTGTTGTTATTTATTTATTACCACTGTTGTTATTTATTACAACTGCTATTTATTATAACTGTTATTTATTATAACTGTTGTTATTTATTTATTATAACTGTTGTTATTTATTTATTACAACTGTTGTTATTTATTTATTACAACTGTTATTTATTATAACTGTTATTTATTATAACTGTTGTTATTTATTTATTACAACTGTTATTTATTATAACTGTTATTTATTATAACTGTTGTTATTTATTTATTACAACTGTTATTTATTTATTACAACTGTTATTTATTTATTACAACTGTT